TGTGTGTTTCTTTTGTCATCTGATACCTTGAATAAATAGTTATTTTGTCTTATTTACGTTGTAAGCGTATAATTAAGTATTATTAAACCGCATGTATATATTAAAATCTGAGAATAAAATGGAGAAAAAGAACTCAAATTATATTTTTGTCGATATTTTATGTTTTAACGATTCTCAATAAACCCGAAAGAAATTGGTTCAACTGAAATTTCAACGATTTGTTTATCGTTTTATGGCAAAAAAAACATTCTAATTCAAATCAGTAGAACTTCAGAAAAATCCGAAAAAATCCGGAAAATGTTGAAAAAAAAACATTCCGTTCAGCTCTATTCTCTCAAGAAACGTTCATAAATGCTAAATAAACGAAAAACAATACGATTTAATGATTTATTTCATTTTTTTTGAAAAAAAAAAAACAATTTGTGGTCACTGGTGACCCTACTTGGCCGTTTATTGACCTAAATCTCTTGTCCGTTCGAGAGGTAAATCAAATGAGTTGTCTGTCGTATTTGTTCTAATGAACAATCGCTCTTGTTTTACAATAAAATAATTATGTCAGTGTGTGTCTATTTTTAAAGTGAGTATTTATCACATTTACATCAATTGAGTTTGAGTTGGAAATTCGAGGAGATGATTCATTTGGGAAGGATAATGTATGTAATGGAAAATTGTTCAAGTGAACCACATTTCGTGGTATATGAAAACTGGTAATCAGTAATCTTTTATTTGCGAATCGAAGTTACGCGGTGAATTTCGACCTCTCTCAAGAATACATCCACTGAAACGTGCCATTCATGTCCCAAACGTGCGCGCAATTCATCTGTTTTTCCATTGTGTAAACTTAACGGACTGATCTGAAGTATTTCAAGTAACTTAAAAATAGACACAAGAAAAAGCACATCATCGATTGAAATATTATAATGAAGAACCATTGACGATAGCAATGGTTGTGCTTTTGCGAGGCGTAAAAAATCAACATTAGGGCGTTCAATCAATAATTTCGTTATGGTTGGATGTCGTTCAATGAAATCGTAGAAATGTACCTTCATTTTATCATTGCTGTGAAAGAACTCAAGTCGATCAAACCGAAATGGATATTTTATTGTATTTGCACGCTGTCCAGTTAACTCGAACCTTTTTATACTTTTCAAATGAATTTCGGTTCCATCGGAGTTGTAAAAATATGCACAATTGCCTTTCAATTTGAGAAATTCTAAATTTTCCATCGGTTCAATTACATTCCGAAATGTTTTCAGATCGAAAAAAGGTCTTTGACCAATGACATTAAAATTGTGAAGAGATAGTTTTTCCAATTGTGGATTTAACCGCAAAAATTCTGCCATTTGTCCTGCCATAGGTCGATGCATAAATGCAGCTTTCAAAGTAAATATAATGCCAAAACGTTTCAAGTGAGGAAAATGATATGTCAGACAATTTATGTTTCCTATTGGCTTTTCATCAAAAGCGATGCATCCAAATTCCTCCATTTTTGGAAATAGTTTGCAAAGCAAGCCATTTTCGGGTAAGAACCCCATTTTCGTCACAACTTCTTGGATTTTTGTGAATGGTTTAGTTAGTATATTCAATTCATTTTTCTTAACACCAATAAATGTGAGTTTGATTAAAGATTCGGCACAATATTCATTGAGTTGCATAAGTAGCTTTTGGACTCTACCTCTGTTAGATTTCTCAAAATTGATCTCCATATCATGAATCATATGTCCAAAACAGCGTAAAAGTTGAAGGGGCGTTTTCAAATCATCAAATTTAATTGATGGTTTATTGGTACGACATAGCCACAATTGATTGTAGCTATATTCTATCGTAGTTTTTTCACCATATTTTCGAAGGTAAACGCCTTGAGCGGCTTTACGTAGGCGCTTGGTTGTGTCGGCAACACTTAGAATGTCCTTCAGCTGCAAATATTCGAAACATTCTTCGAGACAGATGAGATTCATATCCGTGATCTTCATTTTGTCGACGATGAGGCCTGTGAAGGAAATTGAATAGGTTTTAATTTAGAAATATTGTATGCATGCTGAATACTGATAGTTACTTTGTAGAGTCAACGAAACAAACAATGGTTTCAACAATGAAATAGCTTGAACACAGCTATAGTGCTGTAGAGCTAATATAATTTTCACATATCTATTAGTGAGACGTAAAAGAACGCAAGTTTGTCCAACTTCGTAGCAATAAAGAGAAGTATGTTTCGTTGCAACTAAAAATGGTTAAAAGAATGTATGTTCATTTTTGGTGGGTCCTCGCGGTTTTTCACGGTTTCCGCGGAACTGATAAGAGATAACAACATGGTGTCTTGGGCAAAGTTGTAGTACTTGAGGTCTCCTATAACATTGCTGAAGACAGTTATCTCTTATCTCTTATCAGTTCCGCGAAAAGCGCAAAAAATGATAAGAAAAAAAAGTTCTATATAAAATTTGCTTTTTCATGAGCGCAATTTGCGCGCAACTGATAAGAGATAAGAGTTACCTGTCTTCAGCAATACTATAGGAGACCTCGAGTGCTACAACTTTGCCGAAGACACCATGTTGATATCTCTTATCAGTTGCGCGAAAACCGTGAAGACCGCGGAGGCTAGACGGTACTACAACATACTTTCTTTTAACGCAGATAGAATCAACAGAAAACATACTTTCCTTTTCAAAAATATAAATCGAGAAAAAAACATACGTTCTTTTACGTCTCACGAATAGATATAGAGTAATTGAAAATAAATTGACGATCAAAACTACATAAAATATACAATTTTATAATAACTATCACGCTAAATGGTACATTTACTGCAACACTATTAGAGTTTTGACATTTCTCCACAAACATATACTTGTATAGCAAATCCATCAATATTTTATATATCGGTCATTCCATACCAATTCAGAGCAATGTGAGGTTAGAAATTGGCATGGAGTTTTTTTTTCGGTGAGAAAATAGGAAAATCAAATTCTTGGGTTCATTTTTAGCTCAAATTTTGGAGTACTCGTGTAAAATTTGAAGAAACAATTTTATAAAACAAATGACTTCGCGGCAACTGAAATCAGAAGTAGTCGTCACATTGATAAAACAATAGTAGCGCTGGAAAGGGAATTTATGGAGCTAAAAACCCAACCCAAAATGGGCTGAAAGTATAAAAGGTGAAAAAAGTTAGAAATGAATTGACTACTTCTTAGTTAGATTTCAGTTGCCGCAAAGTCATTTGTCCCATTTTATAGCTTTTGTTAATTTTA